AATGTGAGTTCAAATAATAATATTGTCCCCTCAAAAACAAATTGTTTAAATAGGGATACAGGTGGACCCATTCCAATAATGAGATGTACAAGATTCTATGTCGAAAACGAACTTTACAACTTTGGCGGGGAGGCAGAGGATGGGAGGACAGGGATGGTAAGGGGAAACAAAGGAGGAGGCAACAATGCTTGATAAGAAATGCATTCATTATCTTGCTCATGTAATTGTAACTCCTCTGTACAGTATTTTCACAATAAAATAAACTTATTAATAAAAAATAATATTGTCCCCTCACCTCCCCAAAAGGTTAGGTTTTACAACAAAAATACAGGAAATTAAGTTGAACTTGGAAAATTGGTGGTTAATTGGAGATAAGAGTCTCACAGACTTTCCTTCCCAGGCTGTATTTGAATTGTGATCCATGATCTCAGTCCCCTGAGTAGTTACTGTGTGAGCTGTGTGGTTCCAGGCTGACCATTTGCTTTTTTTCAATATATATTTTTTTTATTGTAAAGATACTGTACAGAGGGGTTACAGTTATATAAGTAAGATAATGAGTACATTTCCTTTTTTTTTTTTTTGTCCATTGTGGGGCTTGAACTCGGCCTGGGCACTGTCCCTCAACTATTCAGCTCAGGTGAGCACTCTACCACTTGAGCCACAGTGCCCCTTCTATTTTTTTCTGTTTATGTGGTTCTGAGGAATTCAACCCAGGGTCTCATGCATACAAGGCAAGCACTCTACCACTGAGCCACCTTCCCAGCCCCGAATGAGTACATTACAATGGGTCAACCTGTATCCTTGTTTCAGCATTTTTTATATCCCTTCCCTTCCCCAATTCAGAAAAATGTACATACAAGATTCAGGGTACCAGAATCAAATACAGTGAAAACAGGGGTTGTACGATGGGGGAAGAACATACAAAAGAAACAAAAGAAATCACATAGTACATTATAAGTACTTTAAAAACAACAGCAACAAAGAAAAAACCTCTTGTGTCCCTATCTTGGGGTTGATTTCACTTAACATCATCTTATCTAGTCACATGTACATAGCTTTTGACCTTTTCTGCTTGTCCCAGACATATACTAGTTATAAGGGAAACCATGGGACCTATGTTTCTTTGGGCCTGGCTTACTTCACTCAATGTATTTTTTCCCAAGTCTTTCCATTTCCTAACAAATGGGGCAGTGATCTATCTATCTATCTATCTATCTATCTATCTATCTATATCAGGTTTTCTTGATCCATTCATCTACTGAGGGCATCTGGGTTGGTTCCATACCTTAGCTATGGAGAATAATGGTGCGATAAACATAGTTGTGCTGGTAGCTTTAGTATGGCCTTCTTTTGTGATCATTTGAGTAAATGCCCAAAAGTGGGATTGCTGGGTCATAGGGAAGCTCTATGAACATTTGCTTTTAAGCCTTTGTTTTGAAACTGTTCCATAGGTGATTAGAGTTGATAAGTACTTTCCAAGTTTAAGGTGATAGATTCTCTTTCCTTAAGCTTCTCTGGCTGCACATCTAGAGTCTCTCAAATGGCAAAGTATCAACATTCCACAGTGAGCTCTTCTTTTTTTTTTTTTTTAACTGCACTTATGTTCAATTTAAATTTTGCCTTCAGCATTATCATATTGGCTTTACTATTGCATTTTCACCTTTGTTTGCTAACTCAATTATCAATATTTATAAATGCTATCTGGATTACTACGACAAGGGAACAGTACACTTGTAGACTTCAAAGTGAGAAAGACTTAGAAGTCAGGTCTGTTTAGTCACTAATCACGATGCGTACTTGGTTTTTACAAAGTGATTGGTAAACCAAAGGGCTAGTAGCTATTATTTAATATAAATAATCACAGTTTAAATCCTGTGGTATGGGCTGGGAAGGTGGTGCAGTGGTAGAGCGCTTGCCTTGCATGCATGAGGCCCTGGGTTCGATCCTCATCACCACATAAGCAAAAAGAAAAAAGCCAGAAGTGGCTCTGTGGCTCAAGTGGTAGAGTGCTAGCCTTGAGCTGAAGAGCTGAGGGACAGCGCCCAGGCCCAGAGGTCAGGCCCCACAACTGGACCCCCCCCCCCACCAAAAAAAAATCCTGTGGTAACTGAAATTTGATATAGGTCGTGAGGAGGGGGACCCTCATATATTTAATCTCAATTACTATCAAGATTTGTGCATGTAGGAATCACACAATGTGAGAGTAATTCAATATTTTGAAACTAACTAGAAAGACAAGTTAGTTATAATTATGATAAAAATAGGAAGGAACATTTAAGATTTAAAAAATGAGACCACATCAGATGCCAGAGGTTCATGCCTATTTCCTAGCTACACAGGAGGCTGAGATCTGAGGATCTAGCCTGGGTAGGTTATCTCTAACAACCAAAAAGACAGGAGTGAAGCTGTAGGTCAAGCAGCAGAGTGTTCGCTTTGAACAAAAAAGCTCAGAAACAGCACCCAGGCCCTATGTTCAAACCCCAGGACTGGTGAATGCAAACAAACATCAAACAGACACACAGACACAGACACAGACAGACAGACAGACACACACACACACACACACAAATACACACACACCTGAGACTTCAATAAAATTTTGTTCTCTATTGTTATGGAGATTTTGGTAGTAAAGTCTCTTTTATGAAGTACATTTTAATAGATAAAATGACTCAATACATGAGAAGCCAACTTTACAGAATGGGTTTCTTCTGGGTATTTGGTCTAAATTAGCATAATAAAACAGGCTGTAAATGTTAGGAGTAAGAGTAAAATTTCAATTTCTAATGTATGTAAAGTCATGTTGAACACTGACAGGTAGGTATCATTAATGCTGTTTTTATGGTCAAGGAAAATGAAATTTGAGGTAATATCACACAGTTAACAAATATAGCAAATCTAGATTAACTGAATTACAATTCCATTTACAAGCAACATGTCAGATGTGTATCAGTAAAAATGAAGGTGGAAGAGTTGCCTTCTATGCTTACATTGATACCTTACTTTCCTCAACTTATAAATCTTTCACCCTTACAATTACTTTGCCAAACTCAAAGCCTTCTCAGAATCTTCAGGTACAATGAATCCTTCCTGCTTTAGTGTTTTACTAACCATCTTATTAAACTTCTGCTAGTTTCATTGTGACTTTTATGTGGTAAGAAACTGTTCAACTGAGCTCAAAATCCACAGACATGGCAACAAGTAATTAACTTTGCTATCTAATATGGTAAGGTAGAAAATTAAGTAGGGTTTTTTTTTTTCTTAATTTGAGATCTTTCTCCAGTTTTACTAATGTAGGTATTATTTTGTAACTTCATTATAGTCAGAGAACATACTTAGCATAATTTCCTTTTAAATTTATTGAGACTTGTTTTGTGATCTATTGCAGTACAGTCTTGTAAATGATCCTGTGTATTTAAATACAATGTGGGGGATGGGAAGGTGGCTTAGTGGTACAGTACTTGCCTAGCATGCATGAAAACCCTGGGTTTGATTCCTTAGTACCATTAACCCTGAAAAAGCCAGAAGTGGCGCTGTGGCTGGAGTGATAGAGTACTAGCCTTGAGCAAAAGAAGTTCAGTGCCCAGGCCCTGAGTTCAAAAGCCCCAGGACTGGCATGCATGTATGCATGCATAAATAAAAAAATACAATGTGTTCTGTTGCTGAGGGAAGACTTTTTTTCCATTTTGTGTGTGATTTTGTGTGCTGGTTCTGGGGCTTAAACTCAGGGATTAGATAATGTCTCTGAGCTTTTTTTTTTTTGGTAGTTAACTGGAGATAAGAGTGTCACAGATTTTCCTGCCTGGCTGGCTTTTAAACCATGATCCTCAGATCGCAGCCTCCTGAGTAGTTAGGATTATAGGCCTGAGCTACCAGTACTTGGTGATAGAGGACTTACAAATATCATATCAAGTAGATTGATGGCATTTTTCATACTTTATATTCTTAACTATTTTTGTTAATTTGTTCTACTAATTACTTAGGAAGAGGTGATAAAATCTCCAATTTTAATAGCAGATTTGTCTGTTTTCAGTTTGTCAGTTATTCTTTTATTTCAAACTCTTTCACTAGGTAATACAGATTTAAGATTATGTCTTCTTGCTGAGCTGGTACTTGAGGAAAATTATGTAATGTTCCTTTTTATCTGACGCTACTCCTTGTTCTCAGGTGTGCTTTGTCTGATATCAATAGAGCTGCTCCAATTTAATGTTTATTGTTTGAATGGAATGTGTTTATATTTTAAAGCATGTAAGATTTTATTTATTTATTTTTGCCAGTCCTGGGGCTTGAACTCAGGGCTTGGACACTGTCCCTGAGCTTCTTTTGCTCGAGAGTAGCACTCTACCATTTGAGCCACAGCACCACTTCTGGTTTTTTCTGTTTACATGGTACTGAGGAATTGAACCCAGGCTTCATGGGTGCTAGGCAAGCACTCTACCACTAAGCCACATTCTCAGCCTAGATTATATATATTTTTTAATGAACCTTACAATTTCTCTTTTTTAATGCCAGTATTAGGACCATTTGTAAATATAATAATCTTGTAATTTGCTTGCTTAGTCATGTTTATTTGTTGTTTTCATTTCCCTATTTTCTCTTGGATTAGTTGGGTGGGTATTTTTACAAATATAAGTTAATCACCTATACTGGCTTATTAGCTATACTTCATTTTTTTAAGTGACTGCTTTACAGCAGAGGCTGCAAGCAGTGGTCATGGATCAAATCTTACCCATTGTATGTTTCTGTAAATAAAGTTTTGTAGACACAGCCACCATTCAGTTCCTTGTCTATAGCTGTTTTCATGCCATAATAGCAGAATTGGGTAGTTGTAATAAGACCGTATTACCTACAAGAGCCTACTTACCTTCCAAACTTTACATAAAAAGTTGGACCACTGCTCTATAGCTTAAATTTAAAAATTAAGATGTTGAAACAAACTGAATAATTGTACTCCCAATATAAAGTGCTTTAATCACTCAGTTAATTGTGCAAATACTCACGTTGTTTTCTTGGTTCTTGTTGGTTTTCAAAAGTGTGATAATGCAATTATGAATAAAGAAAGCAAGAGTAAGCACTCCAGTCAGCTGTGGAAACTGAAATCTTAGCTCTAGGAGAAAAACAAAAATGTTAAAGCTGAAACATAGGAAACAAACTTAGCTGTTTCTATTTGTCCCTGGAATAAGAATATTAATATGTCTCTGCAAAGTTCCTCAAGATCAGTATTCTACTAGGCAGAGTACTTGCAAGTAGGTCCCTTATATCAGATATTCCTGTTTGCTCTCATACACTCAGTAAATGGCAGAGCAGAATTCAAATTCAGAGTCTGTCTGACTCTAAAATCTTTCACTTTTCTAAAATATATATTTACCAGAAAACTACTTCTACAAAAGGAATCATGGGATGAAAATTAGTCACTTAACATTCTGAATTGCAAATCAAAAAAGCACTGGTTAAAAAGAATAGAAATAAATGCTCATTTAAATGGGACTAATTAAACTAAGAGTGTTGAAAAATGGTATACATGTTTAAAAATTAGGATATTGGGAAAGACTTTATGCTATTCAGATGTTCATGAGTCATACAGTATCTGTAATGTGATTTTACTTTTATTTCTAAAAATATGCATATATATATAGATAAAAATATACTGTAGGGGTATTTACAAAAATACAATTAGCAAGATTTTATTTATTTATTTTTTTTGTCGGTCATGGGGCTTGAACTCTGGGCCTGAGCGCTGTCCCTCAGCTCTTCAGGTCAAGGTTAGTGCTCTACCACTTGAGCTACAGCACCACTTCCAGCAAGATTTATTTTAAAATAACTATATGTTTTAAATTTTGTGCAACAATACACAATTGTTCAAAATAATAATAAAGTGAAAAATGGTTTTTAACTAGGATTGTAATCTGATTCTTGTCTAATTCAGAAAGATGATATCCGCTGGGCACTGGTTGCTCACGCCTGGAATCCTAGCTACTCAGGAGGCTGAGATCTGAAGATCATAGTTCAAAGCCAGACCGAGCAGGAAAGTCCATGAAACTCCTATCTCCAATAAACCACTAGAAAACGAAGTGGCTCGTGGCTCAAGTGGTGGAGTGCTCGCCTCCAGCTGAAGAGCTGAGGGATAGCGCCCAAGCCCAGAGTTCAAGCCCCATGACCAACAAAAAAAAAAAAGAAAAAAGAAAAAAGAAAGATGATATCACTGTTATCAACGTTCTAACTTATCAAACTAGAATGGGAATCCTGCTTTTTTTTTTTCCAATTTAACTAATGAAAATGGTTTCTGAGAATATTTTTTAAACCTGTGATTCTTTCAAGCAATGTTACTGAGATAAATTCATATAGGGCTCACTAATACCAAGTACACTATTAAATTTTTTTTTTTGTATATTCAGAGTTGGGCAACCAAAGCCATAGTACTTATTCTTTTTCTATTGTGAAAAAATATTCCACTGTATGGAATATCACACTTTATACACTCATCAGTGACAGACACTGGCTATTCTGACTAATGTCGCTACAATGTATACATACACTCTTGTGTGAAAAATATGCCTTTTTAAAGAACATACCATTTACATTGTGATTATTATATAATAAAGAAGATAGGTATATTTCTCTTCAAAGTGGTTTTAAATAGGCTCAAAACCTCTGATTATTTTCAGACTGTTTATTCTTTTTTTAAAATCAGGTCCTGGGACTTGAACTCTGGGCCTGGGCACTGTCCTTTGCTCAAGGTAAGTAATCTACCACTTGAGCCACAGTGTCACTTCATGTTTTTTTGAGTAGTTTATTAGAAGTATGAGTCCCATGGAGTTTCCTGCCTGGGCTGGCTTTGAACAAGGATCCTCAGATCTTAAGTCTCCTGAGTAGCTAGGATTACATGTATGAGCCACTGGGGCCAGTTAGACTGCTTATTCTTTTGAAAATGCATATCAAGCGTGAATATAAGCAGGGCCTGAGGGTGTAAAACACTAGCCTTGTGTTTGATTCCATTATAGAGAGGAGAGGAAGAGAGGAGAGGGGAGGGGAGAGGGATGGAGGAAAGTGGAGAGAACAGAGAGAAAAGGTGGAAAGAAGATAAGGAGAAGATAATGCAATACATGTATCTGAAAAAAGACTTGTATCCAGAATATATATCCTATAAATCAGTAAGAAATATATCAAGTAATTAAATAGAAAATAATGAGTGAAGACTTGAAGAGTCAATAGTTAATGAAAAGTCATTATATTATGAAAAGTCATAGAAAATGCAAATGAAAACCATAAACTGATACCATCATATACCAGAAAAGCCAGATGAAAAAGACAGAAAATACAAGTGTTGTTGAAGTTGTGGAGCAACTAGACTATAAAACAGTGCTGGGAGAAATGGAAACTGGTCCAACCATTTGCAAAGTTATTGGGCTAGTTCTACTAAAGCAGAACACCTTTGACCTAGTAATTCTACTCCTAGATACACACTCAATAGGAAAGTCATATGTTCTCCAAAAGACTGTATTAGAATAATCATAAAGGGGACACAGGAATAACAGGAGGAAGAGTGATCAAATCAAGTAATTACATTCAATGTACACTATGTAAATAATGAGCTATATAATTTGTAGGTAGGGACGGGGGCAGGGGGGACATAGGGGAAAGCAAATGAAGGGGTGACATCACCCAAGAAGCACCGTACTTATAACCTGACTTATGAAATTGTAACCCCTTTGTACAATTCCTTAAAAATATCAATAAAAATAAACCTAAAGAGTTAAAAGCTGCTGGGCACCGGTGGCTCATTCCTGTAACCCTAGCTACTCAGAAGACTGAGATCTGAGGATCGAGGTTCAAAGCCATGAGACTCCTATCTCCAATAAACCACTAGAAAGCCGGAAGTGGCACTGTGGCTCAAGCGGTAGAGCGCTAGCCTTGAGCTGAAGAGCTGAGGGACAAGCGCTCAGGCCCAGAGTTCAAGCCCAATGACTGACCAAAGGAAAAAAAAAAAGAGTTAAAAGCTGAATACTACTCAAATGTCAAGTGGTAAAAGATAAACTGTGGTAAATTGAAAATAAAACATAAAATGAATTACAAACATATGCACCAATGTGGATCAACCTCACATGATGTTAACTGAAAGAAGCCAGAATGCAAAGAATATTTATTGTCTATTCCACTTATATGATGTAAAAAAAGGCTGAGATATGGAGAGTAGCCCAGGAAGAATTCCCTAGATTTTCCATTTCCAAAATAAACTGCAAAAAAGCAGGGTTAGAGGTATGGCTGAGGTATTAAAGAGTCAGCTGAATGAGTGTGAGTCCTGAGTTCAAAACTCAGTCTCACTTCCCCCACTACATGGAAAACAAAACTAACCTTCCTTTTTTGAGAACCTACCTGAAAATTACCTAAAGCAAAAGGGCTAAGTGGCTAAAGTGGAACAGCACCTATCTCGAAAGAACAAGTCTTGAATTCAAACCTCTATTCCACAAACACAAAGCAAAACACCCTCAAACCTAAAAATAAAAACAACGTTTGGGTCAGAAATGAGAATAGCAGTTATTAGTGACTGATAGGGGCTTGAGAAAAACAGACATTATAAGCTTTGTTCTGGATGCTGGCTGTATAATGTGTTCCATTTGTGAAATTAACCACGATGTACACTTGATGACATAGTTTTATACATAAATATTCTGCTTTGATAAAATTTAATAAAATGACCTAATTCATTTCTGCTCCTCCAGAAAGTTTTATTACTTTCATATTATGCTTGTCATATACTTTTCAACTATATATTCCCTTATTATAACTGTACTTTTAATTTTGACTTTATACAATCAATAGTGTTTATTTTTACTATTATTATCTATGTAAGCCTTAGAATGTATTAAAATGAAATTTCCTTTTATATAAAAATACTTTCAATGACTTGTTTTTCTGAGAAAATACTGTTTTCTTTTTTGGTTCCCTAATTTTTTACTTCTTCCCCAAACTTTCCAAAAGAATTGCAAAACTCCTCTATACTGGTGCAACATATCAGAAATACTTTGTATTTTATATTCTTGGGAAAAAAAATCCCTCCTGGGGCGGTCTGTCTACCTACTGTAATCTGGTCTGGCTGCACACTAGGCCAGTTACACAATTGTTTCCTATGATTTCCCTTCACTGCTTCTCTCTTTATGTTGCGTTAGTAGGATTTAAGATGGAGTAAAATAAACACATTCAACCATTAGTTATTGAGTACTTGCTCTGTGCCAGGAAGTATTATGGGACTTGGGGATACAACAATAATACAGAAGTTTAAAAATAAGAGTATTCCTTTTCTTGGCATTAACATTACAGTAAAAGGAGAGCTAAGAAAAATACACTGAGACAGGTATTCCTTACCATCTGACTTTTCACTATATGAATTCAAGAACTAAAAAGATTTTGCAAACTTTGTTTTGAGAAGTCTTTTTTAAAAATCTCAACTTTCGCTTCTTTTCGAAACTTAAGAACCAAGTAGATTACAACTTGGTATTTGCCAATATTTCAACGTATCAAAATCAGCAATTAATAGAGTTTGATAGTCAAGTATATCTGTATATATGTTCTGGTAGTAATAAGAGCTCTAAAGAAAAAACAGGGCACAAGAAGGAAGAATGGGTATAGGCAGTTGGCCAAAGAAGTCTCTCTAATGTTAACCATCTTTATATTTGAGAAAACAGAAAGGCATTTCACACACAGTAAAAGCAAAGCTTCCAAGTTAGAATCTATGGTAGTAAAAAGCACAATTCTGAATACAAGAATATACACTAATGATTCAATCAGAACTATAAATGTAAATTTTCATCAGGACAGTAAAGGTTCACTTCTTGCAAAGTTCTCTGACTTTTAACAAGCCTCAACTGAGAAGGACTTACGATATTTTTTTCATTCTTGGGAAATTTCTCAACTATAATGTAATTAATTTCAGAATCCTAAATATTAAAACAAGATTTTTAAAAATTCAATATTTCCTTTTCATATCCTTTAAAAATGAAGCAAAGTGGGACTGGAAAGATGGCTCAGTGGTAGAATGCTTGCCTTGCATGCATGAGGCCCTGGGTTCTATTCCTCAGCACCACATCAGCAGAAAAAGCCGGAAGTGGTGCTGTGGCTCAAGTGGTAGAGTGCTAGCCTTGAGCTGAAGAGCTCTGGGACAGCCCCCAGGCTTGGAGTTCAGGCCCCACGACCAAAAAAGAAAAAAGAAAAAAAAAGAAGCAAAGTGAAAAAAGTGAGCCATATCTTTTTAAACATTTTAAATATGTTTTCTGAATAACTGTTTGTCCTTTCCCTTCTATTTCTAATGTAATATCATCAGCAGAAACTTTCATCACTAAGACTCTTTATTAGTCACAATAGACCCAATTTAAGAAAATAATGCCTTAGACTATTTTTATCAGTCAATGAAAGAACTAGCTTAAAATTGTCATTTTCAGTGTCTATTTTCAAACATAATTTTGGAAAGAAGAATGCCTTTCAACTTCTTTACTTCCTTTTTCCTGAATCTATAATAACTTTTAAGTCTTTGTAAACTTCTGATAGAATTGAAAATCAAAGCTAATAGTCAGATGTTCTGAAGAAAACTAGCATTAGTAATATAACCAACTCCCAATAAATACTTATTCCATATACCTAGATAACCCAGGAATGTAACAAAGAAATGGGGTGATAGGTAAACATAAGTACAATTTTTTGTGTGTGTGCATGTGCCAGTCTTACAGCTTGAACTCAGGGCCTGGGCAATGTCTACAAGCTTTTGAGCTTAAGGCTAGTGCTCTACCACTTGAGTCACAGCTCCACATCTGGGGTGTGTGTGTGTGTGTGTGTCTCCACGTCTGGGGTGTGTGTGTGTGTATGTGTGTGTGTGTGTGTGTGTGTGTTTAACTGGAGATAAAAAGTCTCATGGGCTTTCCTGCTTAGGCTGGCTTCGAACCACATTCCTATATTTCAACCTCCTGAGTAGCTAATTACACGCATGAGCCAGCTACCAGTGTCTGATCACAATTACAAGTTTTGAAAGGCACTGAATAGTGAAGTGGGATGGAATCCTATACTGCCTAAATAGATGAGGAATAGAAAAAAACAAACAAAACAGTGTTTCTAAACCAACAGGAGAACTATGAACTATTTTTTCAATTATTAGTTTTTAATATACTAGCTCAACAATCACTTTATTTTTTGATCTGTCCCCTCATTTGGTATACTCATGGTTTCATGGTGCTTTTGTCATGTGCCAATTATTCTAAATTTGGGAGAAACTGAAGAAAAAAAAGGAGCAAAACATTTAATAATAACAATTTTAGGCTAAAAATAGTAATATTAAAAAATACATAGGGAGAGCAATGGTTTCAATGAGTATTACCTATATACATCACTCTGTTCTAAGTCTCTGAAATTCTAGTGGTCTTTTTTTTTTTTTTTGGTGGGTCATGGGCCTGAACTCTGGGCTTGGGTGCTGTCCCTAAGATCTTCAGCTCAATGCTAGCGCTCGACCACTAGAGCCACAGTGCCATTTCCAGCTTTTTCTGCTTATGTGGTGCTGAGGAATCAAACCCAGGGCCTCATTATGCGAGGTAAGCACTCTACCACTGAGCCACCTTCCCAGCCCATCTAGTGATATGTTTTTTAGAAGACTGTAATGAATAAGTACTTACTTTTTAAAATTGTGTAACTTAAATAAATATTAAATGTCAATTTGCAATGACAATGGCTACTCCTAACTGCAAGGAATCCAAAGAAATCCTATTTTAAGTCCTACTTTAAGCCTAACAGCACTAATGGAAATGTTCAGAAGAAAAGATGCTATTATTTGTAGTATAGTATATATTAATAAAAATTACATTATTGTAACTTATTAATTTTTATTTATTAAAACAACTTACCTGGTACAAAAAATTCTGTTGGTGTAAGCCAATGAAATTCCAAATGAAATCCCAAGCGAATAGCCTTCAAGGTAACAAAAAAAATCAAATACAGAACAGATACTGTGCCTGTAAGAAAAAAAAACAAAACAAAAACAGAAACTGCTGTTTATATCTCTTTTTTTTTGGGGGGGGGGGGAGGGTGTCCAGTTGTGGGGCCTGAACTCAGGGCCTGGGTGCTGTCCCTCAGCTCTTCAGCTCAAGGCTAGCACTCTACCACTTGAGCCACAGCGCCACTTCCAGCTTTTTTCTTTTTGTTTATATGGTGCTGAGGAATTGAACCCAGGGCCTCATGCATGCAAGGCAAGCGCTCTACCACTGAGCCACCTTCCCAGCCCTGCTGTTTATATCTCTATGTGTTTTACATACTATTTTAAAAGTCAAGCTTTGTTTCCATGTTTTCACCTGAGTTTGGATCACTTTTAGCTTTATTGATTATCCTTACTAAAACCTAGCTGGGATCTAAAAAAATAGAATAAATTGTGTCAATTACAAAGAAACAAACACAAACTTGGTAGTTAGCCAAAGAAGACCTGAATGAAAATAGTTCCTGGAAGTGGCGCTGAAGCTCAAGTGATAGAGCGCTCGCCTTGAGCTGAAGAGCTGAGGGACAGTGCCCAGGCCCAGAGTTCAAGCCCCACGACCGACAAAAAAAAAAAAAAAAGAAAATAGTTCCTATACTGCTGAATGGAAGACTCTTTAATACTTATAAGCTGAATTTGGTGTAAAATACAAGCAAGGAGTCCGTCACAAAATTATAAAAATTAAAAAAGATTTTTGAAGTAGTGAGGATCAAACCTATTATCTTGCTCATTCTCTCTCTCTCTCCTCTCTCTCTCTCTCCCTCTTTTGCAAGCACTGTAGTACTGAGCTACACTCAGGAAGCCTAGAATATACTTAAAAGTTATAACTGCAGAAGAAAGGGATAGAGAAAATACCAAGAAAAAGGACAAAAGCAGAATATCCTAAAGGAAATGGAGAATAATCAACTTGATTCCAAGTCTGGTGACTGTTTTGTCCAACCGAGAAAAGCCTTCTATCAGTTTATGTACTTTAGAAAGACTTGTTCCACTGGAAAATCAGCAAGCAAGTCAGGAAACCACAAATGAGCTGTATAAGCTCTACTGTGGGTTTAAAGATTAGCTGATTCAGAAAGGATGAAAACAAGAGGTCAGGGCTTATATAACCACATTTTTCTTTGTGTTTATGGTAGCTTATAGTGAATTCCACTTTGTGATAAAGAGACATTATTCATTTTTCTGAAAACTCATCCACATTTTGCATTGGCATCTCCTGGTTCCTTATGGTAATAAATAATCTGATTATTATATACTACAGATGTCTTACAGGGAGATCAGATCAAGATAGACAAAATCCTATAGAGTATTTGGATCTACCAATTATTTATAAATGATTCTTTGTATTTTTTTTCCCTATTGCCAACTTAAATGGGATCAAAATGTTACTTTTGTGATTTCAGATTAACAGGGTTTACAGAAAGATGTCTGCTCCTTTAAAAAATAAGAGCATTCTAAAATAGAACAAACACTGAGGAAGATAGAAAAACACAGAATAGAGCTGGGTGCTAGTATCTCATCCTGCAATCCAACCTATGGCAGGCTGAGATTGGGAAGACTAAAGTTCAGAAAAGTCTCTATCTCAATGGTAGAAGCTAGACTATGATGATACATGCCTGTCATCTCAGCTATAGACAAAAATAGATCATGATCCAGGCATATACCCAAGCCATGGAAGCAAGCTTCTATATCAAAAATAGCCTGTGCAGAAAAGGAAAGGAAAGAGGTATGACTTAGTGGGAGGGTACCTGTCTAGGAAGTGGGTGCTCCTGAGTTTAAACCCAAGTACTAAAAAAAAGAACAGCAGAAAAAAAAAATCTGAAAATCTGAGCTAAGACTGGAGTACAGCTCAGTAGTAGAGCACTTACCCATCATGTACCAGGCTCTGGGTTAGAGTGTCAATATGAGCGGCTGAGAGGAGGGAAAAAGCATCATCTACTAGAGAATAATCTCCCATGCTCAAAGTCAGGTGATAATTGTGTATAATACTCAAATAGAAATTACAGGAAAAGACATTTCTTTATTTCCTTTATTAAGTCATAATATCCAACTCTTAGAAATAGAAGAATCAGGGCTGGGCAGGTGGCTCAGTGGTAGAGTGCTTGCCTTGCATGCTCGAGGCCCTGGGTTCGATTCCTCAGCACCACATAAGCAAAAAGAAAAAAACCAGAAGTGGTGCTGTGGCCCAAGTGGTAGAGCGCTAGCCTTGAGCTGAAGAGCTGAGGGACAGCGCCCAGGCCCAGAGTTCAGGCCCCACGACCGGACCCCCCACCCCCCCCCCCAAAAAAAAGAAAGAAACAGAAGAATCACATAATATTCATTTGATCACTAATTTAGAATGGGAAACCAAGTAACTCATGGCTCAAAATGCCAAAAAACAAAAAGAGACTTGAAATAATCATCTATATTTTTCTCTGTGCTAATCGATACAGAAAACAGAAATAAACAAAAAAGACTACATGGATAAACACAGTAAATATAGATAAACAACCCTGGAAGGCAACTTTTTCCCTTGTTAAATATTTTCACAGGATTGACCATATATATGTTCTATGACACAGAGGTTCCACAACTTAGTCTTGTGTCTTACCTAGGATATTAAATTTTGAAAAAAACGATGGTGATTTAAAATTGAGCAGTGGCAGGAGGAGCCCTATAAGGTAAAAGGGTACTGTCTTGGATTTATTCCACCACTTTGCGAACTGTTCAACTTCCGTGTCATTGGTGAAGAAAATCAGGGAGCTGTTGTCAGGATGGCCACCACTCCCAGCATTTGGACAAATCACTGTAATGAAAAAGCATTGTAATGAGAACATTACAAAATCCAAAAACTACGATCTCCTTTCTGGAAAAAAAAATAAAGAAGGTTATATTTAGGCACATTAGGACTCCACCTAAAACTAAACAATGAAAGCTGAGGCAATCTCAAAAAAACTTGGAAGTATATCCTTAACCTCTACTGGAAACTATAAAAATATCCTTTTAAACATTTTTTGGCTCCATTACCAGAGAAAATATTAAGCTATAAAGTATTTAGTCTTATTTGTGTAATAACGTAAGAAATATCATATAGGGCAAATGCTGTACTAACAACTCGTACAAAGACCAAACTGTTAAAATAACAAACAAAACCAATGATGGAATAAAAACAGTAGAAATAGTTCTCATGGTATTACAAAAAACCCAATCATTCATTAAAAGTTGGGAACTGTGAATTTTCTCAGTAACAGTCTGAAACAGTTCTGGAACTCTATCAATGATATGTGATAGACACCTAAGAGTATTCAGATAACTGAGACACTGATCTATAGATAATAATTTTTCCTATTAAGAGTATAAAACATTCTTACTTGGTTTCTAATTTCACAATAGAGCTTTTGCTAGAAGTTGGGGGGGGGAAGGGAGTTATTTGTTTGCTTTTGTTTTAGAACTGGTGCTGGTACTTGAACGAAGGACCTTGAACTTTTTGCTTGGTTTGACCCCTTAAGAGCTGGCACTCTACTGGTTGAGCTATACCTCTGAGTCTAGGATTTTGCTGGTTAACTGAAATTAAGCATCTGACTTTTTTTCTAGCTTTGAACTTTTATCCTCAGATCTTAGTCTCCTGAGTAGGTAGGAGTCAGCTTTTTGTAAAGAACACACCCTTTCCTATACAAGAGATTGAATATAGGGCATTTAGCTTTTTTTTTTTTTTTTTTGGGTCCAGTCATGGGGCCTGAACTCTGGGCGTGGGTGCTGTCCCTCAGCTCTTCAGCTCAAGGCTAGCGCTCTACCACTTGAGCCACAGCGCCACTTCCGGCTTTTTTCTTTCTACTTATGTGGTGCTGAGGAATCGAACCCAGAGCCTCAGGCATGCAAGGCAAGCGCTCTACCACTGAGCCACCTTCCAGCCCCAGGGCATTTAGCTTGTAGGCAAGCACTCTTCCATGTGAGCCATACCCCCACCCTTTTACTTTATTTTATATTTAAATTCTATTTCCAAGATAGGGTTTCAACAACTTTGCCCAGGCTGGCCTTGAACAGGAGGTCCTTGTGCCTTTACCTCCTGAGTAGTTGGGGAATGTAAGTATGTACCGCATACTCAGCTTATAAAAAATCTCTTTTTAAAAATATAAGCAATAAAAATTTACTTCACTTGGAAGAATGCTTAATCTTAGTAAAAATAAATATATTATGCAAACATCAAGCTTTCACTTTCCAAAGTGAAAAGAATATTTATTATTAATTGTACTTTGAATTTTATTCTCCTCCCATATTTTTCGTGACACAAAGCCTAACATTTCAGTTTCTTTCCTTATTCTCTCAACACATTTTTCTTCTGGTAGAATTTTGTTTCAGACTATGAAAACAAACTGCCTGAATAATGAATTCTGACTCTGCCACTTAACTAACATGTGTTCTTGGGCAAGTTAACATCTCTGTGCCTTGCATTCCTTATTTATAAAGTGAAACTAACAATATCACCTTTTAGGGCTCCTGTAACATTTAGAACAACGTGTATACATAAACCTTAGCTGTAAATTTCAACACTAATTGAGTTGGATTGTTAACAGTCTTATTTACCATACTGTTCAAATGAACCCCGAGATATGGACACAAGACATCTTTCTTTGTTGTTGTTTTTAATGTACTATGTGATTTTTTTTTTGTTTCCTTTGTATGTTCATCCCCCTATGGTATATCCCCTGTTGTCACTGTACTTGATTTTGGTACCCTGCATCTTGTATATACATTTGTCTAATTTAGGGAGGGGAAGGGGAATAACAAAACACTGAAACAAGGACACAGGATGATCCACTATAACAATGATATCCCATAAGACAGTATATGAGCTTTACACCTTCAGGCGGGATGGGGGAAGAAGAGGGAGCGGGGGAGGGAGGTGGAGGAGAGAAGAGATAATGGGAAAACAACAAGGGAAGCGGTAACAATACTCAACAAGAAATGTACTCATTGCCTTACTCATGTAACTGTAACCCATCTGTACAGCATCTTTACAAAAAATAAAATAAAATAAGCATCAAGTGGTGGTAACAACATAAAACACTGCTATGCAAAGTAAATTGATTTTACTGATGATACTCTACAAATTATCAATGTAACTATGATTATTTATGATCTTAATTACTACCTATAGAAGAAGAGAGATACTAATTAAACTATAGTTTCATCAACATTCATCAAAATAGCATTACAGCAAAATCAATTTCTCTTTAAGCCAAAGATACTATTTGGTCTTTTGAAAATTCTGGGGGTGAGGACTAGAAGGTCTGTATGTATCCATAGAAACAAAGGCTAGTTCTTCACTCACTCATTTTCTCATGTTAACAAATGATGGGTTATTCAGGTTTTATTAAGGAGCAAAGTATGACACTGGATGGCAAACATTGCAATGTACACAAGAGGGACTATTGTCTTTTCACTATTATATACCCCCAGTTTCTAAAACAGCTCCTAACACATAATGGACTTTATATATATAAATATATATATATTATATATATCTCACAAAAGTTTTAGGTGATAGTCAAGATTAATAGATAATTATTAACAATGTTATATTAGTAATTATGCTCATTTTTCTTTCTTATTACTTCCATATTGAATTAAAGCCACAAGGGCTTCTTTTTTAAATTTATAATTTTTTTATTTTTTTAAATTTTTTTTGGTTCTGAGGATGGAATCCAGTCCCTCATATATGCTAGGCAGGTGATCTAGTACTGACCTATGCCTCCAGTTCCATGCTCTGTGTGTGTGTGTGTGTGTGCGCGCGCGCGTGCATGCGTGTGTGTGTGTGTGTGTGTGTGTGTGTGTGTGTGTGTGTGTGTTGTGGGATTTGAACTTAGGGCTTTGTGCTTGCCAGGCAGGTGCTCTACCACTTGAGCCATGCCCCCTGCCCTTTTTGCATTGGTTATATTTGATATAGTCTCACATTTTGCTCTAGCTATCTTGGATTGCTTCCTGGTATGTAGCTAGTATGACAGATGTGAAGCACCTGGACTTTTTTTGGTTAGTTGTGGGGCTTGAACTCAGCCTGGGTGCTGTCCCTGAGCTCTTCAGCTCAAGGCTACCACTCTACTACTTGAGCCACAGCACCACTTCCAGTTTTCTCATGGTTAACTGGAGATAAGAGTCTCCTGGACTTTCCTGCCTGAGCTGGCTTTGAATCATGATCTTCAGATCTCAGCCTCATAAGTAGCTAACTACTTACAGGCCATGGGTGCCCAGCAGAACTAGCTTTTTGTAATGACATTTTTTTCCCCTAGGGCTTGCCTGAAACTTACTACCCTTACTAACTCAGCCTCCTGCTGAGAAGACAGGCATGTTAAACTGCACAAACCTATTTATTGTCATGGGTCTCATTAACTTTTTGCTCAGGCTGGCCTTCAATCTCTTGATTGAAGATCACTCTCTTGATCTCTGACTCTTGAATAGCTAGGACTATATAGGCATGAGGCACTGGTGTCCGGACCCAAATATGTACTTTTAATAAATACTTAATTAAATAATTAAATAAATTAATAAATATTAAATATTTTGGAGCAAAAGCTTCACATTATTTTTCCATATTTATTTCCTTCTGCTCCATTATAGGAAATTATTTTATATGTTACAAATTTGCATAGCCTGCTGGGAAGGTGGCTCAGTGGTAGAGCGCTTGCCTTGCATGCATGAGGCACACATAAGCACCACATAAGCAAAAAGAAAAAAAACCAAACTCCAGTACTACAAATTTGCATAGCCTATATATTAGTCATTAAAATAATAAATATCTAAAACTAAAGAGACAAACTGAGATGTATGCTCTGGACATCTGAAACAATCATAAGTGATACAAGCCTTTGAGAATATTGATTATTTACAGGTAAATATGGATGTTTTGAAAGCATCTATGAGTTGTATAATATGGAGAAGTTAAATCATTATTGGAGAAAGATGGTAAATAAGGAAACAAATAAATCTCAAACTACTTACCAGGATTGCTATTATTGGTTCTCGGTATACTGTCTGTGTCATTAATGTGATGAATAAAATCTAAAAATTAAAAATAAAAGTTTAATAAAGAAGATGATAAACTATATTACTGTCAGCCTTTTACTTACAGAGATGCTTAAAATATATACAGTATCATCTAATACACTGAACCCAAACTACTTCATCCTTAATTTTGCTTTTACCTTCTACAGTTTTTTTCACTTTTAGGAATGATAATGTCATTGTTTTCAGCTTCATTGAGGTGATATTTTACATGATGGAACATTTAAAAAAATCTACTTTTTAATGGTAAAGGACTGAAATATAGATTATATATATTCTTTTCCTATACTACATCAATTTATGTACATTCATCTATACTTTATATAATGTTCTCAAGTATGCAAAAATGGAAAACCTTTTACCATATACAGTTAAACTTACTTGGAAAATTACTAAAAAGGTTAACAAAGCACTATATATAATTTTATATAAACTTACTTGGAAAAGGGTTTATAAAGTACTGTATATTCTTTTATCTATTGAGAGCTGTATAGCAATTATGTTCAAAAGAACCATACTAAAGAAAGTAGTAAAGAAAAATGCATATTCAGGTTCCTGAACATACATATATATATAAATTTATATCTATATTATATATATTTATATAAATATTTATATATTATATATTATATATATATTTTTTTATCAGTCATGGGGCTTAAACTCTGGGCTTGGGTGCTTTCCTTGTGCTCTTCAGCTCAAGGCGAGCACTCTAACACTTGAGCCACAGCGACACTTCCAGTTTTCTAGTGCTTTATTGGAGATAAGAGTCTCACGTACTTTCCTGCCCGGGCTGGCTTTGAACTGCGATCCTCAGATCTCAGCCTCCTGAGTAGCTAGGATTGCAGGGGTGAGCCAATGGTACCCGGCAACATTCATATTTTATAGTGAATATAAGACTGAATAACAATGTTCTTTCTTACAATCCTGCCTCCAAAACAAACAAGATACTCATGTCTTCCACATCTCATGTGCTGGATTTTATAAGTGTGTATAAAAACACTTAGCAAAGAATGTGCTTTCTTGTTAACCTGTAAGGTTTATTTTATGGGATTTTAATTTTTGGGGGGGTCTGCACTGATGATTGGAATCAGGGTTTCATGTTTGTAAAGCAGCTGCTCTACCACTTGAGCCATGCCTCCAGCCTCTTTATGCATTGGTTATTTTGAGATACATTTTTATTCTATGCCTGGTGAGCCTGGGTTGCAATTCTATTTGTATTTTCCATGTCATTGAAGATGACAGATGTGTACCAGTGAATATTTTGCTTCCCATACAGCTGGGGCGATATTAAGAAGGATCCTTGCCTAAAATTGTGATTCCCCTATCTTTGTCTCTTAAATATCAAGAATAGCACACTTGAGCCACCACACACCATCCCTGGGGAATACAATACCCAGACATTGTGCTTTCCTCATAGCTGGGAAAACAAGCACATGCCACCATACCCCAGCCATTAATTAAGAAAAAAAAAGTCTCTTGCAAGAAAAAGCTAAAATATTTTATGGCTATGCTGGAATTGAACCATAATCCCATTTTGCCTCACAAGTAGCTAAGATTACAAGTTTGAACCACTGTGCCCAGTATGATATTAACCTTTTATAACTGTAGTGACAATTATTTGAAAGTATTTGCTGTAAAACCTAAATGAGATGATAAAAGGTGTTCAGTTTTAAGGTGATGAAAATAAGTTAAATACAAGACTTCTATATTTTAATTGTACCATATATTTCTCAAACTAGAAAAAAAAGCATCAGTATAATGTTCTGGCCTTTTATAAAAATCTCTAAGTATTATTTAGGATTTTATAAGTTATGAAAGTTCATCATTTCTTCATGCCAAACAGTTATATAAGACTAGTAAAACCATGGTATCAAATGTACTGGGTTGAAGGGTCTCTTTCAAGAAATGAAAACCTACCAATAGGAATCTCAAAATGTGCCAATATTTGGAAATAGAGATTTTGTAAATTAAATCAAATTAATATGAGGTCATACTCGATTAAATGGGCTCAAAAGTCAGTAGCTGGTGTCCTTATAGAAAGAGTAATATGTTCACATGGTTATGTGTTTGGACACACCCAAAAGGAAAACAGCCATGTGAAGATTAAGGAGAAATTGGAATACAGTTATTTCCTAAGGAATGCCAAGGATTAAAAACAACTAAGCAAGAGAGGAATCATTCTTAAAGCCTTCAGAGGGAGCAGGGCCCATCTGGCATTTTAATTTGACCTTATACTCTCCATAATTATGAAAGAAAAAACATTTTTTAAGCCACTAGGTTATAGTAATAGTAATTTGTTACATCACCATAGGAAAATAGCATAAGAAGCTAGCTAATATCTCTTATGAAAAGAAGCTCCTGTGCATCCAAAAAGCAAATGCAATCTAGTCAGGAATTAAAAAAAAAAAAATCAACCATGACTACTAAACAAATCTGTTTATCCTAAAACAAAAGAAAGGTTTAGATTTGACAAATATCTCTCTTTAATTAAGCATATTAATAATTTAAAGAGAAAAGGAGGATCTCAAGAAATGCAGATTAAGTGCCTGATAAAATTCAGCACATATTAATAAAATACTTAAGGAAGCCATATGCATAATATTTTAAGTTACTAAAGGGTGCTGGATACAGTGGCTCCTGTTTGAAATCTTAGCTACGTGGAGGTAGAGGTTTGAGGCCAGTGTGAGCCAAGAGTGCAGGGCCCACCCTCCCCCCCACTTCAACCAACAGATGAGCATGGTGGCATGTATCTGTCATTTCAGTTATGTGGGAAGTATAAATAGAGGAGGATTGTGGTCCAGACCAGCCTGTCCAAAAATGTGAGACCCTATTAGAAAAATGACTAAAGTAAAAAGGGCTGGGGACAGTACACAAGTAGGAGAGCACTCTGCCTAGTGTGAGGCACTGAGTTCAAACATCAGTACCACTAAACAAACAAAATATAATTATACTAGAAAGATTTCCTCAGCAACAATATAAAAATGTGTACTATCACTGCTTCTGTGCAACTTTACATAAAGATGATATACCAGTCCACATATATACACATGCATGTATTTATTTAGAAATATGTATATATATACATAAGTGTAATATACATGCAAACCATTTTAAAATAACTAGACAGAAAGTAGTCTTTTTTATTCACATTCTAAATCTTTTGCAGTGCAACTACAAAATTAGAATCAACAAGAATCCAGCAAGTTTCAAATTAACATAAACATTTATAACTCAGTTATAAAAATAATCATTTAGAACTCAGGTGTGTATATAATACCAACCAATAATTTGAATAAATAATGAAAAATACTATTTCTGAACAGATAAAAATATTGTTTCTTGATGAAAATGTGTCATATATACATGCATCCATTTGTCAAAAAGATCTGACAAAAGATATTTTCCCTTTCTTCTTTTGTGTATATTTCTTTCTTTTTTCTTTTTTTCTGGCAAAAATGACTTTTTTTCTTTTCATTTTTCCAATACTGGTGATTCAACTAGGGCCTGAAGCCTATGCTAGGCAAGGTCTGTATCACTTGAGCCATACCCTAGCCCTTTTGTTTATATTTTGTTTTTGAGATAGGATCTTGCTTTGTCTGGATGTCCCTGGACCATGAACCTCTTGCTCAGCTTCCTACATAGTAGGAATACATGCATGAACCAATATATATAGTGGATTTGTCTATTTTGGTGAATGAATTCTATCTAATAAAGAAAACTATGCATGTAATAATAATTAAATTGGTAATATAACATAGATCACACTTTTTCAATGAAGGCAAAATTCCAAGAGGGAGCAAATTTATTCCCAGGGGAGAAAAATAAACAATTTTTTTTACATGTAAATCACAGATGCATGTGTAGTTCATAAAAAAGCTTTACAGTGCATCTATATTAAAATTTCATAAGAGGTAAGATTAGGAAAAAAATTTCTAGAAAAGCCCTTAAGGGAGCAATAATGAAAAAAAGGTTGAGAATCACTACTGTATGTGATTCTTGACTAGTACAATGCTGACAACTGGTGAAGCTGGGTGAGGGGGGAATATGATGTTTTCTTGTATTATTCTGGTTTTATATATGTTTGAAATTACCTGTAGTAAAAAGTAAACATGCCAAATATGAAATTCAAACACTTACAAAAACGGCTCTAAGAAAAAAGTCTTCTTGGGCTGGGAAGGTGGCTCAGTGGTAGAACACTTGCCTTGCATGCCTGAGGCCCTGGGTTTGATTCCTCAGCACCACATAAGCAAAAAGAAAAAAGCCGGAAGTGGCGCTGTGGCTCAAGTGGTAAAGTGCTAGCCTTGAGCTGAAGAGCTGAGGGACAGTGCCCAGACCCAGAGTTCAGGCCCCACAACCGGACCCAAAAAACAAACAAACAAAAAACAAACAAACAAAAAAGTCTTCTTAAAAGTCTTCTCTAGACTTTTGTCAAGAAAATTCAGAAGAATTAAGAAAGATATGGAGAATTATATGATGTCACATTCATAGGTAGGAATACAATGTATATAAATAACCTCTACACACCTATAAATCCAATGCAATTCTTACTAAATCCTAACCTCCCTACCCAAATCACATCAGAGTGTACTGACTGAAAAAGAAATCAATGTTATGTCAAGGCAATTCTAACTGTATTGTTCTAGAACTTGACAAGTTGATTGTAAAATGTGTGTGAAGAGTTATGGGTAATAACAAATGGGGGGAAAAACAAATTTGAAAGTACAATTAAAAAACTGAATAAAACTGGACACCAGTAGCTCATGCCTATAATCCTTGTTACTCAGGATGCTGAGATTTGAGGATTACCTTCTGAAATAGAAAAACCATCTATATTCATGGATAGAATCAATATTGGAACAACATGTAATATAAAAATATCTAATTGAAAAAATGATATGAAAAAACATTTGGTTTGAATTTCTAATAACACTGCTCAGAATTCAAGTAGTTGATTTAAGCAGATTATAATTCTGTGGAATGTAAATAACATATTAATAAAATAAATTCTATTATTCTTCCTAATTTTAGATCAAATGTGTGAAAATAAATGAATAAAATTTGTTTTCCCTACAGTCTACACATCAAGTTCTATATCAACAAATACCAATGACTTTTATAAAATTTCCTGTTACAGTACAAAAATTTTGTGGTGAAGCCTGAAACAATGCTTACAATATCTGCTCAGTGATAAATATATTTTGTATTAGAGATTTTGAATATTATTTCTTGAAAATGCTTGAAATTATTGTACATGTTATTTGAGTTAAAAAAAGAATATAAGCTAAATCAAGTATATTTTCAAGAATTATACACTTTATTTCTTACTTTACATTCCTAAAGTCACAGAATTTAAGATTGGAACTTAAACTGAACAGTAGTAACTGTATTTGAGAATATAGTAAAGCATATAATATTGATACTTACTAAAAATAAACTTTCCAGTATTAAAAAGAAAATTAGACATAAGCACCCAATAAACTATCATTGCTCCGATGAGAGATACCAAGGAGAAAAGGAGACTGGACCACTGCCCAAAGTGGCCAAAATAATGTCTGCAGACATCTGGATATTCCCAACTGGTGGTATCTAATGAACCTAGGTGAAAACAGAAAGAAAGAAAATAATCATATTTCATATTCATAACTTGTTTTCTCCTAATTAACTCAAGATATTTAGCAAAACATCCTGGGTACTTTACCTCCAGAAATAAAAGCAGTTAGAATATAAAACAAACACAAAAATAAATTATTTAATATAAATGAGTTGAAAAACTTTATAGCAAAATAACCTTTTATAATTTACAAAAGCAAGCAATAAAGCAAGGATAGACAAACCCACTAGTATGGATAGAAAACACTAATAGATGACATATATAGATAAAAATATGAACGAAAGTTCTCTCAAATCATAATTTATTTTTTGGTTGCTTGTGGGGCTTGAAATCAGTGCCTGTGCACTGTCCCTGAACATCTTTGTGCTCTCTACCATTTGAGCCATAGAGTTCCTTCCAGTTTTTGAGTGGTTAACTGGAGATGAGAGTCTCACAGAGACTATTCTGCCTGAGCTGGCTTGGAATAGCAATCCTCAGATTTCAGCTGCCTCAGTGACTAGGATTATAGGTATGAGCCCAGCTCAAATCATAATTTAAGTCACATGTCAATTTAATGAACAATGAATTAAAATATTAACAGAACAGTTAGAACACAATGTAAATGTCAAAGGTTATATACTTTTGTATCAACTAAAGAAACAGAAAACACAAGGACACTCTTCTAAAAATCATTTAAATATTGAATTGGAAAGAAATTTAAAGAAAATTACAGATAAAGATCTAATATGTCATATGAAGAGCTCAGCAGAACTATGAGTACACTAAGGGATTTGTGCGTAAGGGGGCAGGAATATAAATAAATAATATACTTAAAGAAAATGTACTACTTTTAAAGTACTGAAACAAAACAAAGATGGAAACACATAAAATAACAGCAAGCTTAAGATTTCAGTATCATTCATTCATAGCTATATAGATCATAGAAATAAATTTTATAATTGGCCTCTTTTTCAATTATGTGCTGAGCCCTGCAGACTGTAAGCTGTAAGCATGCTTATCTATATCACTGAGTTTATACCATTAGTCCAGAATTTTCCTTTTTCTTTGAAAACTTTAAGCAATTATTTTACAAGGAAGCATGAAGCAGGTATAAAATATTTTAGGGAAGTATCAGAACAATGCAACCCAAGGAATTAACTAAACATAAAAAAGTAGAACAATAAACAAACACATAGAGTTATCATATATAGCTGTTCAGTTATTACAAGATAAAAACTACAAGTCAGGCACTGTGGTTCACACCTACAATCCCACCTACTTGGGAGGCAGAGATCAAGAGGATTATATTTGAGGCCAGCCTTCATCTTAACAAACAAGGTGGGCATGATGGTAAATGTATATAGTCTCATCTATATGGGAGACAAGGTAAGAGAATTAAGGTCTAAGAATGGTTCCAGGAAAAAAATATGAAACACAACCAGGAAAGCAATTATAAAGAAAAAAGGGACTTGAAGATGTAGCAGAAGGGCTGGAGTGCTTGCCTAGTAAGTCCTGAATTAAAACCCTAGTATCAGAAAAAATTGAGCAGGCTGGAAAGGTGGCTCAGTGGTAGAGTGCTTTCCTTGCATGCATGCTGGGTTCGATTCCTCAGCACCACATAAGCAGAAAAAGCTGGAAGTGGTGCTGTAGCTCAAGTGATAGAGTGCTAGCCTTGAGCTGAAGAGCTGAGAGACAGTGCCCAGGCTCAGAGTTCAGGCCCCACGACTGGCAAAAAAAGAAAAAAGAAAAAATTGAGCAAGGCTGGTAATTCCAGAACTTGGGTAGCAGAGGCAGGAGCATGAAGAGTTTTTATTCTTATGAGGAAATTAGTACCAAACTAAATGTATAGTGCAAAAACTCCCAGCATTTCTGAATTTCAAAGGGAACCATCAATATATAACTGATTAGTTTGACTGAAAAAGGAGAAAAATTTTTAAATGAAAAGTAGGTAATTGATACACATATGTATTATACTCATTTGGATTTGCCTCAATGGGAAAATCTTACTAACACCATATGAACAATCTATTTTCATTGTGTCAGATTCTTACATATCATAGTCCGTGATTTTACCACTCTGTAGCAGCAATAAAGTGTTAAGAGGCCCATCAACACGATGACACCCATTCCAGTAGTAAATCCAGCCTGTTTAAAAATATAGGACATAGTTCATCATGTAAGAATAAATTCATATACCACCATGTTGTTACCCTAAACAATCATGATAAAAATCTGACAATAACTATAATTATTTCATTTTCTTTATAGAAGTCTATGAATTATATAAACTTACAATATAAAGAAAAATAATTCAAAGTGGTTGTTACTAGTTACTAGTGTTGTTACTAGTATTATTTTGTGGATACCTGGTCTCACTATGTAGCCATGATGGCCTTGAACTCACAACCTTCATGTATTTGCTTCCCAAGTGCTTGAATAATAGGCATAGAAACAATTTCAGATAAAAATGTGCTGAAGCTGGGAACTAGTAGCCCATACCTCTAATTCTGGTTACTCAGGAAGCTGAGATTTAGAAGATCACAGTTCAAAAGCTAGCCAGGGAAGAAAAGTCAGGGGAGACTCAATTTCAAAGTAACCATCAAAAACCTGGGCTAATGTGGTGGCTCATGAACTGAGCAAGTAAGCTGAGCAAATATGAGACTTTGAGTTCCTTTCTACCATAACAGCAAAAAAAACAAAAACAAAAAGGGTTCTGAAAAATTATATTACCTGTTTAATGCCCCAAGGAATACTTAATATAGATGTTCCCATCATGGTATTCCAAATCATAAAACTGAAAACAGAGTAACATAAGAATAGAGAATCAGTTTCTTCAAGCATTTTAGTAAAGCCAAAACGTAATCAGTAATTTCTATTCACACAGCGTTTAAAAATATATTACTCACATGGTGACTAAACTATTGTTTTTCCCATGTCCTTCAGAGTAACTTTGGAGTTTATAAGCAGAACCTAACGGACTATATACATAGCACTCCCCTGGTGTTGGAACTACATGATCTGGAGCAACCTAGAAAAATAAACAGAAATGACAGAATCAGTATGTGTTGGTTCCTATGTTCTTTCTCCTGGAATATTCCTGTTTTTCTTTAGGATTTCAAATTTCTGAATAGCTCATATGTAATAATTTTTATAAGCAACTAAATTACTTATGTACATATATTTTTAAAGATTTTAGATGAGCAATGATCTATATGTTATGATTTATAACTTATGGCTCAAACTGACCTTCAATCTGACTTTACTGCCCTTCCCTAAGAATGTTTTTAAGTTCTTAATGGTTAGAAGACAAAACAAAGGGGCTTGGAAGGTGGCTCAGTGGTAGAGTGCTTGCCTTGCATGCATGAGGCCATGGGTTCAATTCCTCAGAATCACATAAGCAGAAAAAGCTGGAAGTAGCACTGTGGCTCAAGTGGTAGAGCACTAGCTTTGAGCTAGCGCCCCAGGCCCAGATTTCAGGCCCCACAACCAACCAAAAAAAATAAAAAAGACAAAACAAAGAACAACTTTTGACAGTATGTAGCCTGCAAAGTCTAAACATACAGTATCTGGTCATATCACTATTGTTTTTTATCTAAAAAGGGATATTGCCAAATAGGAAAATATTATACACATGTTTGAGTTTAGTTCGGGGTTTTACTTTTTCAGAACAGTTCTGAAAACATTTTTCCTTTGTATCTTCAAACATAAAAGTTGAAGACATGAAGCAGAATCTTACTATGTTTTTAGTCAAAGATGTAAGGTACTACTTCAAAAGCATTTTATCTTCCACGGAGCTCTTGGGATAGGGGATAGATAAGAGGAATTTATTCCAAACATCTCCAGGCTATTGTCAGCAAGGAGATATTTTCAAATATCTTATGTCAGGCCAGAGAAGACTGAACTAGCTTGAGAGCACATGTATTAATTACCATCTTTGCGCATCATGCTGTCCTTGGAATACAGCCAGAAAAGTTCAACCAGTGGGAGTTCCCTTGGTTTATGTTGTTCACTGTTCATTTCAACTCCACTTTAGACAATTAGCAATGCTTTGCCTCTTACCAGTGCCTTGTCTGCAGGAGTGGTGAGCCGGCTGTAGTAATGAATCCTCTTGTTCATGGCAGAGGCATGGTCACTAACCCTCTGAATGACATCATTCACATTGACGATGTTTGTGGGCTCTATATAGAAAGGCCTAAAGAAGGGAATATATGCTTGACAAAAAACACTCAGGCAAAACTTCTGGAAGTCAGCCATTGAAGAAAATGACTTCTTGTCCTCCATGAAAAACTGGATGTACAAAGGCAAGGATTCACTTCTCACTTTTGGTGGGAAAAGAAAATGTCACAAAAGTAGCATTATTCTATTCAGAAACTATAGCTTTTTATCACATAATGCTTTTATTTTAAACATATTTTAATCTTAAAAAATTTCACAAAAGAGGAGACAAGAGCTTAAATCAGTTATTAAAAAGAAATACAGTTAAGAAAAAGTTTAGAAGCTATCAGTTTCCAACATGAAGCCCTGACAGAAACAGCTTTGACTAATATTTCAAAAGACTTCTGGAACAAAATCAGAGAAATTACAAATAAAACTGTTCCTCTGCTGAAAAGTCTCTTTCCTAATAGGTCCAAGTGACTCTCTGTGATAAACAAAATTCCTATTCCTCAGTTCATGTGCTAATGACCAGTGATCTCAACCATTTTCTCATGACACTTAGCCAAAATAGTATCAAATGGAATATTGGGACACTATATTTTGCTTTCTTTTACTTTTGAGGATTTTGGTAATGTGCTCTATTGTACTGTTATTTATATATATGCTTCCTACCATAAGTGTATCCAATGAACTGAAGATTCTGGTCTTCAATCATTACATTCAGTCAGTACTATCTTTAGCTCCTTTTGAAAGTTCCTCATTTGACTTCTAACCTTCCACTCATACTGCCCAAGATGCAAAGACCAGAGTTGCATGAGACCAATATATTCCTTTGTTATGTCTCAGACCTCTTGAAATAATAACTAATACTGTTTCATAAACAGAATATAATTTCCCATTTTGTAACATACAAACATCAAAATAATGGAAAAAAAGATTTATCACTGATTTCATGTAATTCCTTTACGTTTAGTGATTCTGAAAGAAATTTAAAATATATAAAGGTATGGTAACAATTTTTGAAGGCATCGTTAACCTACCCTTTGTGGGAGGCACTTGAAGGAGCAAATGATTAAAAATTTAATTTGTTTTTCTAATTGTGATATCTGAGGAATGATAGTATAGATGATGAATTTAGTCTTTCTTTCTAATTAGTATATAAATCTGACTGTTTTATTATTATTTGCCAAAATAGCATCTAAATATAAAGGGAAAAATTAAGAATATGTAAAAATGGTGAGAACAATCTGGTTCAAATCAATGAATATATAAATAGTTCTTAAGAAAGGATATTAAATGGAGAGGAGATCAAAATGACATATCACAAATACCAAGCTTTTACTCCTAAATGTATTCAGTGGTATCAATAAACTTCAAGGGAGATATTATGAAAATAAATAGTTCAGTGGCCAAATAAACAATCCCTACTGTCCAAATCATTATGATATATTATATAATTTAGATCTCTACTACAGCACTCAGTGATGCTAAGAAATAATGTAAAAATATCTAACAGAGGGTTCAATCATACTTGGCATCACAATCTATAGTACATTCTCTTCTTGCAAAAACAGTGCTCCAAAGATTTCAAGAATGCTTACATAAAACAAAGATTGGAGCTTATAGGTTTCTAAAAGAGACAAGTACAATATTGATAGAAATTGTCTACTTCTAACTTTTGCTAAAAACTCAATGGTATTAATATCAACCACTAAGTTGGGTTGAAGGTCTGATGAAAAGCAGTTCAGGAAGGGCTAAATTTCGTGGCTCCTGGCCTCTAACAGAAGTGTTAACTGTACCAGTTGGTTGGCTTGGGTACTCTGAGAGCAGAATGAATCTGAAAGGTTTTCTTTTCCAACTGTTTTCATCGGGATGCTGAGTGCCTGTTCAAACAAATATTTTGGAATCTTTTCAAAACAGATTCTCTATAAAAACATACAACTCAGCATATTTCACTGAGTTATTAGAAACATGTGCCTAAAGCTTCATTTAAGAGAGTGAAAATATATTCTAACATGAACTTAAGATCTTAAAATCCTTTTAAAATTAAGCAATGCTACACAGAAAATAATGCTCAGAATAAAAGACTTGAGCTTTTAAACAGTTTCACATCACTTCTCATCAATGTTACTTCCTACTTGATATGAAGTTCAGTTGTACCACACTGAAAATAAAGAAATTATATTTGTCTTTCCTTGTAAATATTTATATCATGCCACAGGGCAAATGTTTTAATACTAAGAAAAAAATTGCAAAATATTTAAAAATATGAGTCAAACTTCATGTGTTCATTCAATACACTTACAAACAGAAAAACAGTATTTCAACTAACACCTTTTCTGAGTTCCACTCCTTAAATTCCTTAGAAATTTCTGGCCTTTAAAACTGTCTCCACCCTTCTACTGACCAGTTAGGCTTCTCAGAAGTTTAACACTTCCACAATGCTTTAAAAGATTAATACTTTGTATTAGCAAAATGAGTTCCTTTCCCATAGCTTAGTCCACTCCTTCCCTTCTCCACAGCTTAGCATGCTCCCTTCCTAGGCAACACCAGGCCCATGTAGTAAAGGCAGTAAATAATCAACTTCCAGCCCCCTTTACCTTAGGATGGTACTTCTCTGGAGAAGCTACCACCATATAAGGTAATAAGAGCCCCTTAGAGTGACCTTCAGGACTAGACAGCTGCAGGACCCCTTATCTACTACTTGGACGGCAGCCATAAATCCTAGTCTGCCATGATGAAGCCCCTGGCCCACACGTCCACACCAGGGTCTCTGCCTCCTAGCCCCTTCTAACCCCCCCTAAACCCCCTAAGTTATATAAGTCACCCCAGACAAAAGCCGGTGCTTCTTCTCATTCCTCCCTTGTGAGAAGGAGTCTTGCCAGTCCCCCCTCTCCTTTGTTCTATGTACCTGTATGTTTGCATGGTTCTCTGGCAAAGTCTATTAATCTTAATTTCCTAACACTTTGAGTTAAAACTGTTCATTTATTCATACTCCCACAAAAGTTGAGTTATTCTAACACCTGACAGATTGGGATAATTTGTTAAAAAGTGAAAAGGAGCCAGGAGCCAGTGGCTCACACCTGCAATCCTAGCTACTCAGGAGTCTGAGATCTGATGATCACAATTCAAAACCAGCCCAGGCAGAAGAGTCTGTAAGACCTATCTCCAACCAACTACTCAAAATAAGCTGGAAGTGGTGCTATAGCTCAAGTGATAAAGCGCTAGCCTTGAGTAAAAGATCTTAGGAACTTTTGCCCCAATATTGGCACAAAAAAGAAAGAAAGAAAGAAAGAAAGAAAGAAAGAAAGAAAAAAAGAAAGAAAGAAAGAAAGAAAGAAAGGAAAAAGAAAATGCCATGCAAGGGCTGGGAAGGTGGCTCAGTGGTAGAGCCCTTGCCTTGCATGCCTGAGGCCCTGGGTTCGATTCCTCAGCACCACATAAGCAAAAAGAAAAAAGCCAGAAGTGGCGCTGTGGCTCAAGTGGTAGAGCGCTAGCCTTGAGCTGAAGAGCAGAGGGACAGCGCCCAGGCCCAGAGTTCAGGCCTCAGGACTGGACCCAAAAAAAAAAAAAAAGAAAAGAAAAGAAAAGAAAAGAAAATGCCATGCAACTAAACATTCAAATAGTGAACAAGCTGTACTTGCTTCTACCAGCTTGGCAAAACATTTTATGTCTGCCAAACACCTTTTCAATTAAAAAAAAGGCAGAAAAAGAACTTAATCAAGCCTCTGCACCTAAACATTCCTTATTGCTATTAGAAAAATACTGGTATTCTCTGACTTGTTGACATTTTTATCATTTCTTCTGATTCCTATACAACATCATAGTTCACAAAAAGCCTTGCTCTAAACCCTATCGTTAATGGAGTTTGTTGCCATAGGCTAAACCTGTAGACAGGGTTTTCTTTATCTTGGCTAATTAACTGGTTCTCAAATTTATTATGTAAAATTATTTAAGTCTCAACCAAGTATTAAGCATTAAGTGACACATTAAACACGAACAAGGTATAGAACTTCAAGTATCTTAATAGTAACCTGGCTGGAGGAAACAGGTAACTAAGCAATTCTGATCCAGAGAGAAAATGAGACAGGGAGAAGGGTAGTGCTCATATACAAACAAAGGAGCAACAAAGGGGAGAGGCTTGTGTGATGGGGAACACACAGAAAACAGAGCTAAACCTTATCTAGCAGACCTCTGAGGAACTTATAGTTTAGCTGAATCTCAGCAGATAAAAGGAAGCTGGAGGGGGGGGGCAGGGAAGGTGGCTCAGTGGTAGAGTGCTTGCCTCACATACATGGAGCCCTGGGTTCGATTCCTCAGCACCATATAAACAGAAAAAAACTGGAAGTGGCACTGTGGCTCAAGTGGTAGAGCGCTGGCCTTGAGCTGAAGGGCTGGGGGACAGAGTCCAGGTCCAGAGTTCAAGCCCTATGACCACCACCACCACCACCACCACCACCAACAACAACAACAACAAAAAGGAAGCTGGGTTCTGGTGGCTCATGTTGATAATCTTATTCAGGAGGTTGAGACCTGGAGGATCACGGTTTGAGTAAGCCCAGGCAGAAAAGAATATTAGATTCTATCTACAATTAATTAGCAAAATGCTGGATGGGCTGGAGATGTGGCTCAAATAGTAGAGGGCAAGTTGTGAGCATGGAAGCTGAAAGTGTGCAAGACATTAAGTTCAAACCCAAGAACTGCAAAAAAAAAAAAAAAAAAATTAAATCATGAAAGACTTAGCCAGGCATGGGAAGAAGAAAAGGAAGGTGTTTCAAAAAAGAAAAAAAAAAAAAAAAAAGGAATGGGGTGTGGCAGTTCAGTGTATGCATATAGCATATACAAAGACCTGGGTTCTATTCCTAGTGCTTGACTCATGGATGTGTATGTAATGCATGAGTGTGCAAAAACATACACACTGTATAAATTGAAGAAACGAACAAGATATACACTTATCTATATATACCTGAAGAAGTACACGGAAGATTTCACATACTAACAAAGGATTTAACTCATTTCTCAACTAATTTCTGCAATTTTATAGATATAGATTCAAATTTTTCTAAGTTTAAAAACTTTCAAATGAAAAATTTAAATGGCTTTTGAACCTGTTTGTTATTAATATAACAAAAAATCAAAGAAATAAGTACAAAAGTAAATGACATTAGCAATAGCCTAGTATTTATAATGCAGATATTAATATTTAAATTAAAAGTGTTTAGAAGTGTTTAAAGTATTTAGAAATAAATGAGCTGGGTGCTGGTGGCTAACACCTGTAATCCGAGCTCCTCAGGAGGCTGAGATCTGAGGCGGTTCAAAGCCAGCCCGGGGAGGAAGAGACTCTGATCTCCAATAAACCACTCAGAAAACGAAGTGGCACTATGGTTCAAGTAGTAGAGTGTTAGCCTTGAGCTGAAGAGCTGAGGGACAGTGCCCAGGTTCAGAGTTCAGGCCCCATGACTGACAAAAAAAAAAAGAAAGAAAGAAAAAAAAAAGAAATAAATACATGAATTACAAGCTGGGACTGTAGCTCAGTAGTACAGCATTTGCCCAGAATATGTAAAACCTTGGGTTCCATCTGTAGACCTGAACAGATAGGTCTCAAAAGAAGAGCTATAAGTAGCCAATAAATACATGAAGAAACGATGTTAACCATAAATGGAATGTAATTCAAAACTACATTGAGACATCAACTAGTTAGAATAGCTATCAAGAAAACAAGCAACAACAAATGCTGGGGGAAGGGACTCTCATACACTGTGGGAAGGAATGTAAAGAAGTGCAGCCACTACAGAAATAAGTATGGTCCTTCTTCAAAACACTAAAACCCAGAAATACTGTATGATCCTAGATATATAGCTGAAGGAATATGTCACCATATAATAGACATACTTGTTTATCCATGTTTATTGCAGCAATATTCACAATAAATTCACCTATGGAATCAGTCTTTATGCCTATCAACTAATGAATGAAGAAAATATAAATATACACACAATGAAGTATTATTATTCAGCCATAAAGAAAAACAAAACCATACCATTTATAGGAAAATGGCAAGAGATAATCATGTTAAGGGAAATTAGCCAGGTTCAGTAAGAAAAATATTACAAACTTTCTGTCATATACAGAATTTAGATGGAAAAAAAGACATGAAAGTGGTAGTAGTAGAGAATGAATATAATCAAAGTACTTTGTATATGTGTATGAAAAGGTCATAATGAAACACATTATTTTGTACAATTAAAAAAATTACAGAATCCAGGCACCAGTGGCTTGTATCTATAATCCTAGCTATTCAGGAAGCTGAGAACTGAGGACCACAGTTCAAAGCCAGCCCACACAGAAAAGTACATAAGACTCATCTCCAACTAATCACCAAAAAACTGGAAGTGGTGCTGTGGCTCAAAATTGTACAGCACTAGCTTAGGGACAGCACCTAGGCCCTAAGTTCAAGCCCCATAGCCAACAACAACAACAAAAGACAGAATAACATTTTCACTAAAAAAAGGTAAAAAACAAGATGACATAGCATACCCTGTTTATGTAAAGAGCACGAGGAATGCTATTTTAAAAATCCACTTCTATGGGGCTGGGAAGGTGGCTCAGTGGTAGAGTGCTTACCTTGCATGCCTGAGGCCCTGGGTTCCATTCCTCAGCACCACATAAGCAAAAAGAAAAAAGCCGGAAGTGGCGCTGTGGCTCAAGTGGTAGAGTGCTAGCCTTGAGCTGAAGAGCTGAGGGACAGCGCCCAGGCCCAGAGTTCAGGCCCCACTACCGGACCCAAAAACAAAATAAAAAATAAAAATCCACTTCTAGGGCTGGGAAGGTGGCTCAGTGGTAGAGCGCTTGCCTTGCATGCCTGAGGCCCTGGGTTCGATTCCTCAGCACCACATAAGCAAAAAGAAAAAGCCGGAAGTGGCGCTGTGGCTCAAGTGGTAGAGCGCTAGCCTTGAGCTGAAGAGCAGAGGGACAGCGCCCAGGCCCAGAGTTCAGGCCCCATGACCGGACCCAAAAAAAAAAAAAAATCCACTTCTATCCTAGTGGTTTATCAGAGCACTTGAAATGTTACCAATTAGAAAAATCTTGAAACTATAGGTTAGGATTTTATATTTTTAGGACTCACCATGTTAAAATGTAAAAATATCCATGGAAAGGTAACCGAGTAGGTCTTTGATACGTAAGATTATTTCCATCTTAATATCAAACTGACAAAAGAACCATGAAAGAATACAACAGCAAGGAGTAGAAGAAAAATATGGTATATGAAGTGTTCTTCAGGGGTTAAGCCTGAGTGAACTCCAGTCTTAGGTAGCACTGACAATACAGAGAAAGTCACTGAAGTCCTAGGCCTGAGGCAAAGTAGAAGAGGAAACAGACTGAAAAAAGAAAGGGAAAGCTTAGAAAACAAAAGCACCATTTCACAATTTGGTTGAAGGCTGGCTGGAATGGCCAACTCCCTCAGGGCATAGTCCCAGAACAGCACACAATCCTGAAACAATCCAGAATACCAGTTCTATCTTTGGTTACCAGAAAAATACCAGCTCTATCTTTGGATACCAGAATGTCTGGAGAACATAGAAATAAAAATTCTTAAACTGGTACTGCTAATACTCGACGTGGAAGATATTGAAATCTTTATGTTCTTTCTGTCTCTATCCACTTTCCTCATTCCACCCCCAAATAAGTGAAAGACAAGTGAAATGATGAGTGAGGGAGGCATGCTGGTAAAAATGTGGACTATATAGTTTGAAAAAGCCCCACAATGATCCAAATGACTCTACATGTGTCCTTCCCCTATAAAGACAAGCCCCTTCATCTACCTAAGTTTAGACCTCACATAAGCAGGTTGTGTGCTTGGTGGCTCACATTTGTAACCCTTGCTACTTAGGAGGCTGAGATCTGATGATCAGCAATTCAAAACAAGCCTAAGCAAGAAAGTCTGTGGTACCATATCTCCAATCAACCAGCAAAAAGTGGAAACTGGAGCTGTGGCTCAAGTGGTAGAATGCCAGTTTGGAGCAAAAAGGTTAAGGGACAGCACACAGACCAGAGTTCAAGCCCTGGTATTGGTAGAAGAAAATAAAAAAGTTCAAATGATAAGTAGATCCAATATATTCTCAGTCCCCAGCAGTTACTAAAAGTCTAAGTTTGAACCAATATAAGATTTTTGACTGCCATCTAGTGGAAAATATAGAAAGCCACACAAGCGAACCTATTTTAGAAGCATTAAATGCTTTTCTAAAGTGAAACAATTTGCAAAGTGTAATACTATAGATAAGAAGATTTTATGTAGCAGGGGCTGGGAAGGTGGCTCAGTGGTAGAGTGCTTGCCTTGCATGCCTGAGGCCCTGGGTTCGATTCCTCAGCACCACATAAGCAAAAAGAAAAAAAGCCGGAAGTGGTGCTTTGGCTCAATGGTAGAGCGCTAGCCTTGAGCTGAAGAGCTGAGGGACAGCGCCCAGGCCCAGAGTTCAGGCCCCACGACCGGACCCCAAAAAAAAAAAAAAAAAAAAAGATTTTATGTAGCATAAGCATGGATGCTATTAACAGCACTTAGCAATAACTATTATTTAACTACTATTTAGTAATAGTATTGGTTGCAACTTATATAAAAAGACACAAAGAACACTTCAAATCGATCATTTTGCAAATATGTAAGGCTAAATTAACCTTAATCTAAAAAGGCAAACTTTTTTTTTGTCGGTTGTGGGGCTTGAACTCTGGGCCTGGGCGCTGTCCCTCAGCTCTTCAACTCAAGGCTAGCGCTCTACCACCTGAGCACAGAGCCATTTTTGGTTTTCTGGGGGTTTTATTAGAGATAAGTCTCGCAGATCTTCCAGCCCTGGCTGGCTTTGAACCGCAATCCTCAGGTCTCAGCCTGCTGAGTAGCTAGGATAATAGGCGTGAGCCACCGGTGCCCAGCAAGCAAACATTTTCAAGAAACACAAAAATGACAGAAATGGTACTTGGACCGCACCAAAATCAGAGGTAACTCTAAAATGACTGTGAACAGTTCTTTAAGTTGGTTTTTCTAATGGAAGATATTTTTTTCCTCTATGTGCCTTTATATATATACATATAAAGAAATCCATACTTAAACAGAGACAATGGTTTAAGATACTCACAGTTTTTTTCCCCTCACCAAATAGTTTCTGTTTTCTTAAAAAGAAATTATTTTACAAGCTAATTAGCATTCAGAACTAAGTTCCTATATGTATTTGCCTTCCTTAAACCATGCTTATCCAGGTAAGTGTGCCATGATTGTAAATAGTTGATTCCCTTTGATTTTCAAAGGTTATAGAAAATCCAATTCCATTTCATCTACCCTGTTTTCAACTATCTGAACTCCTGCCAACTTATTGTAATGGAATGTACCTGAATGACCTATGCCCTATTGTCACAGTGGTCAATTGTTTATCATAGAATTTAGAGGTTTCAAGAAAACCCTCAGCATTTAGTTAGCATTCGTACATATACTCACTGACTGAGTCACAAGATTAAGTTCCTAATTCCTTTTCTGGAGCCACTATAAATGACAATGACAGTTTTTTGTGTGATAAATTTAAGTTTGCTATCTCAAGCTGCAAAAAAAGACTAAAAAATTAAGTATCTAGAAAATGGAAACAAGATTATCCAGAAGAGTTTATACCAATCCTTTCATTTCCTAGACTGGGAATCAGTGTAAGTCTTAACCAAAAATAAGGATTCTACTGACAGGGACTAGGATGGTATACTGACTGTTAGGTGTCTACCTAATAGTATCTGCCATACTGTGTCACTTCAAGAACTCAGTTTCTAAGTGGGCAATATGTACACTTATACAAATTGTATTATATATATTGACTTTTTAATCAAAAGGTAGCATACTCTATATTCTGGTCTGTACTTTTTTCACTTAACAAAATAGGTTGAAGACTTATTCCATTCTGATATGTAATAAAGCCACCTTTTCCTTTTTAATAGATGAAAAACATTCCATTGTATGAATATGCTATACTTGTCTAGTCCTGAAGGAAAACACATTTTGTTTGCCTTCAATCTTTGCTATAAAAAATTATGACAATAAGCACCCTTGTACATTTGATAGTGTGAGTTAGTGGTTAGTAATTAAACTGCTAATTCATATCACCTTTGGAATTGGCTGCTCCCATTATGGGGGGAATTCTCACTGAATGTACAGATTAAATTTAAAGAGTATGACATCTCTATATAGTTTATTTACGGGGAGTAGAATATGCCTTATGTTTAACTACTTTGGTAAAAACCACTTTATTGAATTCTTTTATCTTTTTTTCAACAAATTCTTTTGAATTTTCTACATACAAACTGAAATAAAATTTAATCTCAAATTATCTTAAACTGCTGTTTAAGTACAATAAAGAGAGAGGTTATGTCTGTTACTTTTACTGCTCTGTTTCTAGCCCCTGGCATATTAACATGCGTACATTGATATACACTAGAGTGAATTAAATGAATTCATCTTACTTTGCAAAACTTATCTCAACCCCTTTCCCAACAGAAATATTTAGTTAAAAATAGTAATATTCATATCCTCCTACCTAGATATACAAACATATTCTATAACAAATTAAGGTTTTATCATCAGTTAATGTGTTTTTAACTCTTACCTTTTGGATCTTAGATCTGATGAATCAAACTGGATATTCATAGAACCAGGATTTATTTCATGATCTTCCTCTGAGATAAGATGTCTAGAATCTCTGTCCACATTTGCCATTTTTCTCAGATTCTAAGCACTGAGGAAGGTAGACCTATATAAATCAGAAAATATAAAGAATTTTTAAAATATATGTATAAGAAAAGTATAGGAATTTGCTAGGTTTTTTTTTTTTTTTTTTTTGAGACAAGGTTTCACTATGTTGCTTGGGCTGGCTTCAAAGTCCTGGATTGAAGCAATCCTCCTTGTATAGCTCCTGAGTAGCTGAGACTATTGATGTGCAGCTATCATGTGAAGCTGAATAATCTTAACTAAAGGAGAGGTCTGAAATGTTTATCAGAAACTTGCTAACATGAAATCAAGTTACATATTTTTCAGCTTAATGAGAAATAGGACAATCCATTTCCAGGAATAAAACATAATAGTTCTATTTGGATCTGACACTGAAAAAAAAAAAAAACTTTAAAGATCTTTTGAAAAGCTTCAATAGGCTATCCTTGGCCAAAGTTAATAAAACTAGAAATAGCTAAAGGAAACTGCTGCTTCTTTGAAAGGATTTTTTTTTTTTTTTTAGGTTGGGTCATGGGGCCTGAACTCTGGGCCTGGGCGCTATCCCTCAGCTCTTCAGCTCAAGGCTAGCACTCTACCACTTGAGCCACAGCGCCACTTCCGGCTTTTTTCTTTTTGCTTATATGGTGCTGAGGAATCGAACCCAGGGCCTCTGGCATGCAAGGCATGCACTCTACCACTGAGCCACCTTCCCAGCCCCCTGGAAGGATTTTTTTGTACCAGGAGAGTCTGAGCTGTTTTCAAAGTTCAACAATAAGTATTACAGAAATAGGAGAAAAGCCGGGCGCCGGTGGCTCACGTCTGTAATCCTAGCTACTCAGGAGGCTGAGATCTGAGAATCGCGGTTCAAAGCCAGCCCGGGCAGGAAAGACCGTGAGACTCCTATCTCCAATAAACCATTAGAAAACCGGAAGTGGCGCTGTAGCTCAAGTGGTAGAGCGCTTGCCTTGAGCTGAAGAGCTGAGGGACAGCGCCCAGGCCCAGAGTTCAAGCCCCATGACCGACAAAAAAAAAAAAAAAGAAATAGGAGAAAAACTTAAGACTTCATATAAAGTAAGGATAATAGTGAATTTACTATCAGATTAGCTGCTGGCTTAAATGACAGAGTACCTTAGGGGCTGGAGGGGAGAGGGAAGTCCATAGGAATCCCTCATAGCCAGATGACTGGCTCTAACGTTTATAAACAAATTAGTGAAAGATTTATTCCCAATTTAAAAACTTTATTTGGGCCAGGCTTTGGTGGCTCATAACTGTAATCCTAGCTACACAGAAAGCTGAGATCTGAGAGTTCCAGTTTGAAGCCAGATCAACCAGACAACTGTCTAACCAGCAAAAAGACAGAAGTGAAGGTGTGGTTCGAGTGTTAAAGCGTCATTCTTGAGCTTTATAAAAGCTAAGCAAGAGCACAAGGCCCCGAGTTCAAGCTCCAGTATTAGCACACACAAAATTTTTGTAGTTGACTCTTTAAAACACAGATTGAGAAATCTACTGTACTTGTTCAAATATACAGTATAAGAAATATTCTTCAATATAAGGTATAGTCAAGGTAAATTATTGAAATTCACTAATATGGAAAAAATGAGATAAAGTTAGTGTTACTGCATGAGAGAAATAAAAAATAGAAGTTTCATCTTTCTAATCCAATTTATAAAATAAGAACTGGCAGTTCTATTAAATTTCTTTCGTTTAAAAATGGCAATTTGATTAAAATTATTAAAATTAAATTCAAATTAATTAAAATAAATCAGTTAAATTAATTAAAATGAACATTCATCCATTAGAATAAAAGATACCTTTTAAATTTGGGCATAGCAAAGGAGTTAAAAGCTTAAGGAAAGATATAAAACTTATATTATGTAAGATTTTTGTCATAGCTTTACAAATAGTAAAAGCAATGCTTTTTGTGTGCCAGTACTAGGGTTTGAGCTCAGGGCTTGAGCACTGTCCCTTAGAGCTCTACCTCTTAAGCTCCATTTCTCTTTTTGGTGTTTGAAGGCTCCAAACTTCAATCCCCAGATCTTAGCTTCCTAAGTAGTTAAGATTATAGGATGGAATGACCAGTACCTCCAGCTAAAACATTCTTTTGACTGAAAAGAATTACTTTAAAAATAGGCTGGAATAGCCAGCAGGGGCGCTGGCTGGTGGCTCATGCCTGAATCCTAGCTACTCAGAAGGCTGAGATCTGGTATCGTCAGCTGAGCAAGAAAGTCTGTGAGACTCTTATCTCCAATAAACCACTCAGAAAACCGGAAGTGGTGCTGTGGCTCAAGTGGTAGAGCACTTGCCTTGAGCTGAAGAGCTCAGGGATAACGCCCAGGCCCAGAGTACAAGTCCCACAACCAATCAAAAAAAAAAAAAATTGGCTGGGAGCAATGGCTCAAACCTTTAGCTGTAGTTCTAACTACTTGTAAGACAGAGATTAAGAAATCAGTTTGATACTACAAAAAAGGTCTTGAGAATCCATTTAAACTAATAGTTGGCAAGGTGGTACACTACTGCTGTTTCAGTGACGAAGGGAAGCAGTAATATATCACAGTCCAAGCAAGCCTGTCCATAAAGACTTTGTAGAAAACAAACCATAAAAAAAGGGCTGGCAGAGTGGCTCAGTGGTAGAGCATTTGCTTAGCAAGGGCAAGGCCCTGACTTCAAAGTCCAGTACGAACAAAACAAAATCCTTCAAAATTGAAAAGATGATTGCAAGGAACCCTGTATCCTTTCACCAAAAAGAATAACATAGGTTGGGGTTAAAAATCACTGGTAGGGGATTTGTGTATCATATGTAAGGCCATGGTTTGAGCCCTAAGAAGAGGAAAAAAGCAAAAGGAAGAACAAGTTGGGAAAAACTCATTCTCGAGATCTAAAAACACATAAAAGTATTTTTAAATATAAAATTCATATGAACAAACATTTAGAACCATATCAAGCAATACTAATCCAAGCAACTAAACCAAGCAATACTAATGAATTTTCTTGAATTATTTTTTAACTTCTTTTTAGGTATATCCATCCCTGTTTTTATTATATATTTTTTAATTGTAAAAATACTGTACAGAAGGGTTATAGTTACATGAGTAAGTTAATGACTACATTTCCTATCAAGTGTTGTTACCTCCTCCTTTGTTTTTCCCCTATCATCCCTTCCTTCCCTACCTCCCTAACTTCTTACCACCCCTCCCGCCCCACCACCAAGTTGTAAAGTTCATTTTCAACATAGTATCTTGTACTTATTTGGGGAGGGGAAGGGAAATAACAAATGCTGAAATAAGGTTACAGGATGACCCATTGTAACAATAAAATATACAAACACTATGTTATTTTTTAACTTAATGAAACTAAACTTATTTAAACTTTTATATTTTGGGGACAAAAAAAATCATCTACAGAGTTGCTAAGAAATGGTAGAGAAAAAATGTGGAACTAAGGAATAGGAATAATCTTGCTCCTATATCTCCAATGACCGATTAAAAAACCTTCAAAAACAATTACCAGGGCATTGTTTTGTTTGAATTACACACAATGGTAAATTTAGGATATGGTTTATTCTGGTTCTATTAAGTCAAGTATGGTGGCTGGCAGCTCACATAGAAGCCTACCTGCATTTAATCTTAGCTCTATCCAAAGTAAACGGGACTCAAGAAACAAAGGACAGCCACTCATTTTGTCGTATCCTTGTTAAATGACTCCATGCTCTTTATCACATATATGGTATTTATATATGCACACAATGTAGGGGAGCTAGGAGGAAGACCAGAATAAGTGGGAAATGGAACAACGAACAACAAAGGAGCCCATCAGCTGCACTGGACATAGATGAAAAAGAACTAAGCAGCCCAAAGACAGCGATGGGAAGGGAGAAATTAGAGGGAAAGAGGGAACAGCTTACACTAAGCAAAAGGAAAGAAATGTAAACATCATCTGATGTGGAAGAAATAATTGTATTGTCAAAGCTCATAGAATTCATAAACTTATAGACCATGATGACAATTTGCCTTGTGAAGGTTAAAATGTGTTTGTGACTTTAAGTATCACTATTCCACAGTACTGTGAAATATGAGTTCAAGCCCCACAACCAATAACAAAAAAAAAACCCAAAAAACTAAGCAGAGGGGAAAATTAGAGCTGTGCAGCTAATATCATATAGACGAAAATGTCAAATAGTCTATCAATGACTCAAATGCTAACTGCTTCTATGACAATTTGCAATAAGCGTAACAGATGTAATTACAACATAAACAGATTCATTTTATCAATCTCTGAGTTTTAAGATAAAGTCCCAGATGCAAAACTATTAAGTCAAAGCTAAGTTCTTGAATAATGAGTCCCTAATTGTTTAAGACTTCGTTTAATAAAGGGTCCTGTTATGCTTAAGTCTTTGTATCACTTACAAAATTCAATTGAAGTGAAACATAAGTGCCAATATTAATATTAAAAAGATGGGGCCTTTCAGAAGATGACTGAACTACCAATGGTATTAGTATCTTATTGATAGGCTGAAGAAACTAGCCAGGTCCCCTTTGTTTTTCTGTCCCTTCTACCCTGTGAAAACAGCAAGAACGTGCAATCTTGGGAGCAGAGACCAGTCCATTACCAAACACCAAACCTGAGTGTACCTTGATCTTGGAATTCTAGATTCAATAATTGGTCGATATAAATTTCTCCTTTATATATTACCCAGTCTCTTATAAAAACAGGATGAACAGTCAGTTCCAAGGGGACATCAGTAGCTTATCTAATTTGTGTGATATTTTCCAGTTTTATTTAAAACAGTGGTACCTTGAGAAGCACTTATATCCCTACAAAGGACATAGAGAGCAAGAAAGCTTGTATCACATTATTTTTTAAAGGTTTGACTATAATTATCAGTATATCTGAAAGCCTGTCAGTTCTTTCCATACTAGACTCAAACTCCCTTTCACAATTCTTTGCAAAGGTAAACCTGTAGAATCTAGGTGAAGATGTTAGGATTGA